ATGAAATGTAAACACTTGTTTCTTAAGGCAGTTACCAAAAAGTCAAAAGAAAATCCTTTTTAGTGCAACTGCCTCTCCTTAGGGGAAAGCCTGGTTAGATAATCTGGAAGTACAACTTATAATAAAAAGTGCTTGAGTTTAATCAAAAATGGGAAGAGTGTGTACACAGTTATGAGTAGAACTGGGGAACAGATGACTCTTAGTAGCTGCATGGTAACTTTCCTGATGTCAGTGCAAATTTAGACACACCAAAAAAAAAAACAAAAACAAAACCCAAGAATATAGAATCAAGTTATCCTGGAGGAAAACACTGGTTTTATAGACCTCTAAGATAAAATATTTCAGCATCAGGCCACAACATTTAGAACTAAGGAAAGTTACAGGAGCTGAGAGGAAGCTGAAGGATAGAGTTATCCCAGGCCACGTCAAAGGGAGAAAAAACTGATAGCAGCAAGACAACAATTGATCATTTGAGATATGAATCTCAGAAGTTTTCGAAAGAAATCGATTGTGGAATAGAAAATCAAAATTTCTTGTCATTTTATTAAGAGCAAATTGATACCTTAAGAAAATATTGGTTTAATATAGGGGACCATTCTTTAGAAAGACTATTATAAACAATTCCTTTTTAATTATACCTAACTTAATTACATACAAAATTCCTTTTATAAATTCCCCTTCACAAGCCATATGATGACTTACACAGACCATCTGTCACATGGTTGGACTGTATACTTGTCCTATGGTACCTGTTTCTTTTTAAAATTATTTTTGATTTTCTAGATTAACCTTGTAATAAGAACCTGTTTCTTAAATAACCAGTCATTTTACTTTAGGAGAATAATTTACCATGCAAGATTCTTTCTCGTATAAAATTACTCTTTTTTCTTGATAACCTTCCTTACCAAAACTACATGTTCTTGTCTATATCTTTCTTCACATCTCTCTTCACCATTTACTGCTTTCTTTCTAGTTTGTTTCATAAGTAACCTTTTCAAACTCGTAATTTGAATCAACTTTTAAACTTTTGAATTAGACAAAATAATTCTTTTTCTCAATAAGGACACCTCTTCTTTGGCACATTTTATAGAAACCTAGGAAAAAAATCCTGAAGTATCAGATATTAGTATTGTATAGATGAGAAACATTTTACAATTTTTAGAACAGTCTTCTCTATATAATAACCCTTTCTTAATTGGAATTGACGAAGACATCCAGTAAGCATCCAAAATGATTTTAAGATTTTAAATTATACAAAAAATTTCACTTAGAACCATTGATCTCATTGACGTGTACTCAGTTTTTCCGTTTTAACAGTTTACCTAGAGTACTTTTGAAAACTGGGATATTACCCAAAAGTAGTAATTATTTAGTTATGTCCCTATTACTCATTTTTAAAGTCTGTGGACATAAGGTGTTTTACCTAAGTAGGAACCTTAAAGTTCAATATATGCGCATTTTGTTAATAGCACAGAAGATTTAACTGTTTTCATTGAACTACTGATATTAAATTAGTCTAACTCATCTATAAAATCACACAAACAAAAATTATTCTGTTTTTGGCTGGGTTTATGGTCCTGTAGGCTTTATGTCATATCCTGACACCTTAATATATAGACAGAGATAAATACAAAACCATTTGTTCAGTGAACTCAGATAAAAATATGCTGATCATTTTGAAGATATTTCTAATATTATGTCACCAATAATCTTAAAACCAGTTTTATTTGTCAAGGATTATTAAATTTATGTGAACTTGAAAAGCTTCCTGACTTATGAGCGCTTATTTACTTGTAAGTCAATTTGGTAGCAGGCTAGACATAACACACAAACATGTCTACATATGTACATACACACAAACATGTCTACATATGTGCACACATACATGTCTACATATGTACATACAAACAAGCGTATCAACTTATGTACATATACACAAACATATCTATATATGTACATACAAACATGTCTACATATGTACATGCAGATATCTACATATGTACATGCACACAAACATCTACATATGTACCTACACACAAACATGTCTACATATGTACATACAAACATGTCTACATATGTACATACAAACATGTCTACATATGTACATACACAAACATGTCTACATATGTGCATACACAAACATGTCTACATATGTACATACAAACATGTCTGCGTATGTACATACACACAAACATGTCTACATACGTACATACACACAAACATCTACGTATGTACATACACAAACATGTCTACATACGTATATACACACACGTCTACATATGTACATACCAACATGTCTACATATGTACATACACAAACATGACTACACATGCATATACAAACATGTCTACATATGTACATACATAAACATGTCTACATATGTACATACAAACATGTCTATATATGTACATACACACAAACATGTCTACATACGTACATACAAACATGTCTACATATGTATATACACACAAACATCTACATATGTACATACAAACATGTCTACATATGTACATACACACAAACATGTCTAAACAGGTATACACACACAAGCAAAGGTCTCATAGCTTTTACCCTGGGATTCTAACCATAAAGTAACAGTCCACACTCAGTATTTTATAAAAAGTAGCTGGATACACGTTATTGTCTGACAAAACTGGAACCTGTTTCCATGGCTAAATTGTGTTTTCTCCAATATATACTCTATGAAAGCTGTGAACCAAAATTTGAGTAAAGCAATCTTTATGGCAGTTTTGTTTTTAAAAAAGCATCTTTTACCTTTTTTTTTCCTTCAGTTTTAAACACGTTTCCTGTGTTTGCTTTCCAGTTAGTCAGTAAATAATGTGTCTTATCACAGCACCAACAGCTTAGTAACAGCCAATCTGAAGCAGGCAGAAGACAAAACAGAGGAAGAAAGAGGTTTTGATGACTCTGCTTCACTTAATAGCTGCAGTTAACCATTTGAGCTCTCAAGTTTTCTTGCTATAGTTTGCCTCTCTGTTTAAAATGTTCACAAAAGTAGGTCTTAATAAGTAACCAGCTGAAATCCGAAAGAGAATGAGAATATGAAGTTCCTGCCAGGCTTCTGCAAAGGAGGGAAAGAGAAAAAGATAGAAAAGGAGGTTTGTGAACCTTCTAGCTGCTGCATGGTATAGGGTTGGTATTCCCACCACTCTTGCTGACATCCCATCAGGGAGAGCCCCAGTACCCTGGACATGCACAGTGTGAGACGAATCCCTCCCACCTCTGCAAGTCATGGGCAAAGGAAACTGTTGACAGCTGGCGAGAGCTAGGGGTACCTTTGACTGAGATGAGTAAGGCTGTAGGTGGCTTCCAAGATAATCAGGAAGATGAAGTTGAAAGTGAAAAGGATAGGAAGAGACCAGGGCCCACACTCAAAGGTCATACACTCACACTTACAAACAAATGGTGAGCTTCCAAACAAACCCCAGTTAAGGGCTGGGTAGAATCCTGAATTTCTTTCCTCTGTTCAAAACAGCTCCACAGGTATCTGAAACCAAGTGGAGCGATGCCCAGGAGTGCCACAAATTCAAATCCGTCAAACACTCAAGTGATAGTCCCGTTAGTGAACAAGACGAAACAGCAGAGCCCCAGCGACACCCCAGAAGACACGGGAAAGCTGGGTGCAATCCGACCAGCTCACTTGGTTGCAAGGGTTGCCAGCTTCTTCAGAGATCACATTCTTTGTACCAGCAAAGTGTCGATGGCTGCAGAAGTTGTGCGAGGAAGTGAAAGGGAGGGTCTAGGAAATGAAAGATTTTCAGCAGCCACTTGGAAGTTCCCTAACATTCCTGCCATGGGGTCCGCTAGCCTTCAGCTGCTGGTACTCACAGGTAACCCTCCGCCTTGGTAGCAAAACCAGGCTCACAGGCTTGGGTTGTCCAGAGCACATAATGCTCCCCATATGGGCCACCAAATTTGTTACCAAACACAGGTTTGGCCACTTGTCACTGACACTATCAAATAACAAGCATGAGGGTGGTAAAAAGAAAGTGACTTTATTTCACAGTTTAGCAATGGAGAAGAACCAGGTTCGTACCTAAGGAGCCGCTTCAGTTTTCTGGGAAGAAAGCAGGGTTTTAAGAAGAGAAACTTTCTTATGCAGGGCGTGCAAGGAACATGCAGGTGCAGGGTCTATGTGACTTGCTGTAAAACTTATCTCAGCTAAGAGTTAATTGGTTAGTCTGACCAGTGTCATTGAAGACAGAGTCAGAATGTGGATTATCTATTGTCTTGAGACAGTCTCCCTGTGAGGGAGAATTCTGGATGGTGCCTGCTTTGGTTCAACATTTGGTCCTTAGAATTTCTAAGGAAACATACTTAGATAAGCTGGCAGTCCTTGCAGGTTGTTTCACTGGTGGAAACCAAGGAAGGAAAAGGTTAAATTTGCCTTTCTAAGGAGCTAAGCAAGAGGTGAACAGTGAGAAAGAGAAAAAATACACAGGTAATTTTTAGGAGAATGCTATACTGGGTTACAATTTAACACAACCTCACTGTGTCTAAAGAGCTACCCTATACTTCATGCAAACTACACAGCCTGTGGCATTCATGGAGTGACGAACAGAGAAAAAAATAGTTTTAAAGTGCAAAGGAAACTGGAGATTTTTTTTAAGGAAAATCAGTGGAGGAAGAAACGTTTATTGGCTTCCCCTTTTGGGGAGAAATGTTCTCTTATAAGTAGAAAATTGTACTTTAATTATTTCATAATGTAGTGATTTAACCAGCCACAACTAGCAGGATAACGTAGGAAAGGCAGGTTGGTGTCCACACAGGGTCACTAAATCTACCTGACACGCCATTTACTTTATTTCTAAAAATATCCTTCATCCTTGGGCTTGATGCAGGATCACTGAGTCATGGAAAACTTTGTGTTTTTGTGTCATAAATGCGATGAAAGCATAAAGGTGAATTATTCTTTATTAAAGAATTCATTTAAATTGCTTTTCTTTGTATCTTTGCTTTTTGTTTCTGTACTGCTCCAGTACTCCTGTGAACCATGTCTGAGTGGAGTAATGATGGCACCACAGTCCAGCCTGCATGGGTGTTGGCTTGAGTGCTCCCGCCTCATGAAATTCAGCCACCTCTTTCTCCAGTCAGTTCCATATTCTGAACTCCGACTGTCTTCCAGAGTCCGTGTCACACCACAGCCTGGAAACTCTCCCCAAGTAGTAACCTGAAGCAACAGTAAACCATCATTATTTTGCCTCTCTCAGATGTCACTGTCCTTCATTGTTTGATGTGCACTGTCTTGCAATCCATCCTTCCAGATAAGTCATCCATTTTTAGATGTGGTAAGCCATGTCCAATCCCCATAAGTTTTACCACAACATTTTGTTTCATTCTTCCTGCAGTTACTCCATCATTACTGTACCTCCGCCTATATGGATGTAATTGTCAGTGTGAAGCTGAGTAAGGAACAACGTGCACCAGACTCACAGAGAAAAATGGACAAGCGAGCTGGCCTTTGTATCACTAAAGGGAAGGTCAGATTGGTGAGTATGTAATGTCTGTAGTAGTCTTGTTGGGGACATCCACAGCATGTCAATGAATCAAAAACTTAAGTAGGATCTCAAAGAAATAATAATATCTCTATCTAAACTCTTATACACATAGTAGACTTATATACACCTACTGAAAAAGTTCATCTAGAGTTTTAAATTTACGTTTTATTCATATACAAATGAAAGCAATATTGAAATTAATTCATAAATTAACTCACATATATCTTGATATTCTGATTATGATTGTTCTGAATTAGGTTTTGACACTTTTTCAAAGTGATTATTGATACAGTTGGATGAATATTCACCATGTTTGTTACTATCTTCCCATTTTTGCTCTGCCCCTGTTTCCAATTTTGTCTTCCATTCATTTTCCTTTTTTTGTGGTTTTTATTCAGCATTTCATATAATTCAATATTCTTTCTTAGCATCTCAGACTTTTTTCATACTTTTTTATTGGTTACTCAAGAAAAGAAAAGCTTTTAATTTTCATATTCTTAATTGATCTTACATATAACAGCTTATTTAAAATAATTATATTCAATAGCAGACAGGTGCCTTTCAAAAAAAATAGTAGCAAGGCTGGGCACAGTGGTTCAGGCTTGTAATCACAGCCGTTTGGGAGGCCCAGGTGGGTGGATCACCTGAGGTCGGGAGTTCGAGACCAGCCTTGCCAACATGGTGAAACCCCATCTCTACTAAAAAAAATACAAAATGTAGCTGGACGTTGTGACACACATCTGTAATCCCAGCTACTCAGGAGGCTGAGGCAGGAAAATTGCTTGAATACGGTAGGCAGAGGTTGCAGTGAGCTGAGAACGCACCACTGCACCCCAGCCTGGGTTACAGAGCAAGACTCTGTTTCAAAAAAAAAAAAAGCAATTTATTTAATTATATTTTGTAAGTATAAGATATATACACACCTATAAGTAAAATGAAAGACAGGAAAAGAGGGACAAAAGGAAAAATACAGGAAAAAGGAAGAAACAGTTAGAACTATTGTAAGATGGTTACACTACTTCTGAAGCAGTATAATTTTATATGAAAGGAGCTTAAATTAGTTGTAAATATAAATTGCAACCTCTAGGGCAGGATTGGAACGGGAGCCTCAGTTTTTTGCTGTCTGTGGCCAGAGGCTGCATTCAGTTATTTCCTATGTTGGCTTCTGTCCCATGGCAGAATGTGTCATCAAAGCCACCATGGGAGAGAATGTGCGGCAAGACAGGTATCATAATCTTAGGTAACATGATTACTCAAGTGACGTCCTATCACGTTGTAGTCTTGTGATGTATCAAAGCAAGTCTCAGTTTCTCCCCAAAGTCGAAAGGAAAGGATTAGAATATTGGGTTATGTACACCAAGCTGTGAGGATCATTGCACACCATCTCAGCGCTCACCTGCCAACATCAGGTCTTACTTAATCTGGGACAGGTTCTCAGTCCTCACTTACTTTGCTGACCTTGGCCTTTGTGAGAAAACAGGTCACATAATTTGTAAAATGTATCACAATCTGGATTTCTCTGAATGTTTCTCATGATTTTACTGAGCCATATAGATAGAGACATGTAATTATCTATTTCTGATGACAAGAAACAGCGAACAGGACATTATTTACAAATACAGATTTAGAGACCAAAACTAAGAAAGAAAAGTTTGCAAATGGAAAAAGGAAAATTAAAAATAATAGTAATGTTCACCAGGGTAACAAAAAGGGTAGGAATAGGGAAGTGAGCACCTGGGACACTACAAGATCGACAGTGTTCTGCTTAGTAAGCTCAATAGTATAATTTTAAAAATATATATGTTTTATTTATTTGTTTTGTTTGCTTGTTTTGTTTTTTTGGGTTTATTTTTTTTGAGACGGAATCTCCCACTGTTGCCAAGCTGGAGTGCAGTGGCACAATCTCGGCTCCCTGCAAGCTCCGCCTCCCGGGTTCAAGGGATTCTCCTGCCTCAGCCTCCCGAGGAGTTGGGACTACAGGCGCCGCCACCACGCCAGGCTAATGTTTGTATTTTTAGTAGAGACAGGGTTCCCCATGTTGGCCAGGATGATCTTGACCTTGTGATCCACCCGCCTCGGCCTCCCAAAGTGTAGGGATGAGCCATAGCGCCCGGGCTATTTATTTGTTTTTTTAAAATATTTTTTACAATACTTTTGGATTTACAGAATAGTTGGAAGTACATACTGAGAGTTTATATATACTCAACACATAATTTCCCTTTTATAAATTCTTACATTCATTTGAAACACTTGTTGCAGTTGGTGAACCAATATTATACATTATCATTCACCAACATTCACGATTGATCAGATGTTCTGTTTTCATGTAACGTCCGTATTCTGTTCCAGGATTCCGCCCAGGACACCACATCACATTTAGGTATCTTGTGCCAGTTTCTCAGATGTTTCCTATTTCTGATGTCATTGAAATCCCTCCTTTGGGATGTCTCTGGTGTTTTCCTAATGACTGGATGGCCGGTGTGGATTTAGCAGAGGAAAACCCCAGAGGGAAGGTTTTATTCTCATGATACTGTGACAAGAGTACATAGTGTCAACATGCTCTATCACTTTTTTTTTCTTTTTTTTTTGAGATGGGTCTCATTCTGTTGCTCAGGTTGGAGGGCAGTGGCGTGAACAAAGCTCACTGCAGCCTCGAACTCTTAGGCTTGAATGATCCTCCACCTCAGCCTCTAGAGTAGATGGGACTCTAGACATGTGCCACCACATCTGGGTGATTTCATTTTACTTTTACTTTGATAGAGGGAGAATCTCAAGACATTGCCCAGGCTGGTCTCTAAGCCCTGGCCCCAAGCGATCCTCTCACCTCAGGCTCCCAAAGTGCTGGGATTACAGGTGTGAGCCACTGTGCCCAGCTGCTTTATCATGGTTAATGTTATTTGATCACATGGATGAGGCAGTTTAGCTCAGTTTTCTTCACTGTAAAATTAATATTATTCCTCTTTTCATGTTGTACCTTTTGGAAAAAAACATCACTATACCCAGCGCATACATAGAAAGTAGGAAATTATGCCCCATTCCCTATGGGCAGACTTTCTATAAACATCATTTGAGTTTCTGTAGAAAATATTTAACATTCTTTAGGCTGTTCTGGATCAGTTGCATTTTTCTGTGTGTTTTAGAATCAGTGGTCCAAGAACTGCTAAAAATGAAAAAACAATAGTTAGAATTTTAGTAGGGCTTGTATTGAATCTAAAGATGCATTTAGAAAGTATAAGCATCTTGGTTAATACTTAATAGCTTTCTGATCAATGAAAATCTAGTTTATATGGCACATTACACTAATTCTTCTATTCATTTATTTAGGATTTCTTTAATACTTCAATATTATTTGTAATTTTCAGTATATATATCTTGCAGTTATTATGTTTTTTTCCTTTTTGATGCCGTGTTAAATGAAATTATTTTGAGTTTCATTTTTTGATTAGTTTGTATTGTATAAGAATGCAATTTATTACATTGATCATGCATACTGAATTTTGTTTTTGTTTCAACGTTATTTTAGTGGATTTTTTAGGATTTTCTTTTTTTTTTTTTTTTTTTTTTTTTTTGGATTTTTATTTTTTATTTTTTTTTTTTAATTTATTTATTATTATTATACTTTAAGTTGTAGGGTACATGTGCATAACGTGCAGGTTTGTTACATATGTATACTTGTGCCATGTTGCTGTGCTGCACCCATCAACTCGTCATTTACATCAGGTATAACTCCCAATGCAATCCCTCCCCCCTCCCCCCTCCCCATGATAGGCCCCGGTGTGTGATGTTCCCCTTCCTGAGTCCGAGTGATCTCATTGTTCAGTTCCCACCTATGAGTGAGAACATGCGGTGTTTGGTTTTCTGTTCTTGTGATAGTTTGCTAAGAATGATGGATTCCAGCTGCATCCAAGTCCCTACAAAGGACTCAAACTCATCCTTTTTATGGCTGCATAGTATTCCATGGTGTATATGTGCCACATTTTCTTAATCCAATCTGTCACTGATGGACATTTGGGTTGATTCCAAGTCTTTGCTACTGTGAATAGTGCTGCAATAAACATACGTGTGCATGTGTCTTTATAGCAGCATAATTTGTAATCCTTTGGGTATATACCCAGTAATGGGATGGCTGGGTCATATGGTACATCTAGTTCTAGATCCTTGAGGAATCGCCATACTGTTTTCCATAATGGTTGAACTAGTTTACAATCCCACCAACAGTGTAAAAGTGTTCCTATTTCTCCACATCCTCTCCAGCACCTGTTGTTTCCTGACTTTTTAATGATTGCCATTCTAACTGGTGTGAGATGGTATCTCATGGTGGTTTTGATTTGCATTTCTCTGATGGCCAGTGATGATGAGCATTTTTTCATGTGTCTGTTGGCTGTATGAATGTCTTCTTTTGAGAAATGTCTGTTCATGTCCTTTGCCCACTTTTTGATGGGGTTGTTTGTTTTTTCTTGTAAATTTGTTTGAGTTCTTTGTAGGTTCTGGATATTAGCCCTTTGTCAGATGAGTAGATTGCAAAAATTTTCTCCCATTCTGTAGGTTGCCTGTTCACTCTGATGGTAGTGTCTTTTGCTGTGCAGAAGCTCTTTAGTTTAATGAGATCCCATTTGTCAATTTTGGCTTTTGCTGCTGTTGCTTTTGGTGTTTTAGACATGAAATCTTTGCCCATGCCTATGTCCTGAATGGTACTACCTAGGTTTTCCTCTAGGATTTTTATGGTATTAGGTCTAACATTTAAGTCTCTAATCCATCTTGAATTAATTTTCGTATAAGGAGTAAGGAAAGGATCCAGTTTCAGCTTTCTACTTATGGCTTGCCAATTTTCCCAGCACCATTTATTAAATAGGGAATCCTTTCCCCATTTCTTGTTTCTCTCAGGTTTGTCAAAGATCAAATGGCTGTCGATGTGTGGTATTATTTCTGAGGACTCTGTTCTGTTCCATTGGTCTATATCTCTGTTTTGGTACCAGTACCATGCTGTTTTGGTTACTGTAGCCTTGTAGTATAGTTTGAAGTCAGGTAGCGTGATGCCTCCAGCTTTGTTCTTTTGGCTTAGGATTGTCTTGGAGATGCGGGCTCTTTTTTGGTTCCATATGAACTTTAAAGCAGTTTTTTCCAATTCTGTGAAGAAACTCATTGGTAGCTTGATGGGGATTTTCTATATATTAGGTTATGTCAGTGGCCAATAGATTGTTTGACTTCTTCCCTTTCAATTTGAAAGTCTTATATTTATTTTTCTATCCTACTATTATAAATTATGTCCTCAAGCATAATGTTTAGTTAAATTAGTGGGAATAGGTAACCTTTTGTGTTTATAAGTTTGGGAATATTACTGAGACCTACTTGGTACCATGTGTTGTCATGTGAATTTTTCATAGGTGCCTGTTTTAGGTAAGCACATTCCCTTTATGCAAAATGTGTTTAGTGTTTTTCTGTGAGTGGGTTTTTGAATTGGAAAGTGCTTATTCCATATTTTTAGATGTGATAATGAAAATTTTGTCATTATATTAATATAGTTATTATACTAATTCTTTTTATATGTTTTACTAAACTTATGATCCTGAGTAAATAAATGAATAAATAAATTAGTGTTTAATTCTGTTTTACGATCCTGATTTGCGTTGAAACTATTTCCTTGAGAATTATTGCCTAGGTATCCATAAAGCATATTAGTTTATAGTTTTCGTTTTTGCATTGTCTTTGTCTGGTTATAACCTCAGAAGAAGCTGCCTTATAGGACACACTGCACACTGATCTCTTCTCTGTTATTTAATTTTTTTGGAGAACAGTTAGTAAAAAATTGCTGTTGATATTTTAAAGGTTTGGAATAATTCATCAATGTAATCTTCTCAACCTGGTCAGTCACATGAACTTCGAAGATGATTCCTCCCCAGCTGATCCTTCAGGTGAGACCTCAGCCTTGGCAATCATCTACATCTAGATTCCTGATTCAGAGAAACTGTGAGTAATTTATGTGTGCTTTTGAGCCACTAAGCTATGTGGTAATTGGCTATGCTGCAATAAACAATAATATACTTGATGGTAAACATAGTATGTTATCCTTGATTAGATCCAAAAAAAAGGAAAAATGGCATTAGTGGAAAACCTGGTAAAATATGAAGACAGTCAGTACTTTAGTTAATAGTTTTGCGCCTTTGTCAGTCTGTGAATTCTCACAGATAGTCTATGGTTATGTGTATGATATTAATGTTGCAGGAAATTGAAGGGTATATCCACTTTTTGTAGGATTTTAACAACTCTCTATAGATCTAAAATTACTTCTAAATAAATAGAAGTGTAGACATGGCTCATATATTTGAGATCAGGTCTCCCTGTTAATTAAGCCTTCAGGGAACCTACAACTCATAGTACAAATGCAATAACATTATAAAATATAAATGAGATGAGTTTCTATTTTACTCACTCTATTCCTCAGGGAACACTAAAGCCCATTCTTCTTCTCAAGTATCCAAAACTAAAGTTGATCCAAGTAACAAGTGGACAGCATAAAAGATTGTATGGAAACTATAATGCATCTACATCTTTAGTTACTAATCATAAAATGATTTGTATGATCATTCTTCAGATGATTAGAATGACTATGGGAAAGAAGAAAAAGAAATGCAACTTTCTTGATTTAAAAATTGTATCTGTGCAAGAGTGGTGGCACACCCCCATACTCAGTCCCAGCTACTAGGGAGGTTTGGTAGGATGATCATGTGATACCAGGAGTCTGAGGCTGTGCAGTGTGCTATGATTGTGCCGGTGAATAACCATGCTCTCCAGCCTGGGCAACATAGTGAAACCCCATTAAATAAATAGATTAAATAAATACATAAATAAGTTACAGAGATCATTGTTTATATTTCTATTATTAGGCCTCAAATCCTCTAGATAGAGTTTTTTTTTTGTGTTTGTTTTTTGAGTTGGAGTCTCACTCTGTCACCCAGGCTGGAGTGCAGTGGCGCGATCTCAGCTCACCGCAAGCTCTACCTCCCAGGTTCACACCATTCTCCTGCCTCAGCCTCCCGAGTAGCTGGGACTACAGGTGCCTGCCAACACGCCCGGGTAATTTTTTTTGGTTTTTGTAGAAACGGAGTTTCACCGTGTTCACCAGGATGGTCTCAATCTCCTGACCTCATGGTCCACCCACCTCGGTTTCCCAAAGTGCTGGGATTACAGGCGTGAGCCACTGCACCAGGCCTGAGATTTTTCTTTATCTTTGGAGAGCTACGACTCCAGCGCAAAGTTTCAAATAATGCTTTGCCATTTTTATTTTCCCTGTGAAGGATTCCTGGAACTATAGTTTGTAAAATTATCGCACAACATGTGTTTTATTTTGCTTCTGTTTGCTGTTAAGGCCTCTCTGGATGGTGGCTATAACCTATAGCCTTGCCCAGTACGACTCAGCGTTTGGTACTGGCTCTGCCTTTCATGGGATGCTTACTTATCCTGATGGATGGCCTAAAACCGAACTGTCCGGCTTACATCCGGGTATCCTTCTCAGAGAGTACTTGTTTATACTGTAAGACACCCTGTGGCTCCCGTCTGACCTGTGTCTAGTTTATTTCTACCAAGGTAACCACTCTTTAGGAGAGTGCTGAGTGGGAGAAAAGTGAGGTCCATGTGTGTTCGTCAAGTGAAATACAGAGGAGGCAACTCAACACAATGTGTATAATGGCGTTAGTAATGTATTACTAACCTATCCCAGTAAGAAGAGGCCAGCATTCCTTGAAGTGCCAGTGAAAAGAGAAGAGCTCTCCAGGCCACACACTCATAAGCAGCAGGGGTGTTGGAGGAGGAACTAGAGAAAGACATGCTATTGCCCCATTTGTCTGAAGTCTTTATGGGTGTATTTGTCAGTTTTTTTTTTCCAGCGAGACAGAACTACAGGGAGGTTGATAGGTAAGTAGGTAGGTAGGTAGGTAGATACGTAGATGGAGAGTTGATAGATAGACCATAGTTAGATGAATGGCATTTTGCTTCGAGATTTACTCGTGTAACATTGAAGAGACAGAGAATTCCCAAGACAGCCATCTGTGGTTTAAGGACCTTGGATGCTGTAGCGTGATGGCTCAGTCCAAAGCTGAAATCTTCAGAACCAGGGAAGCTCTTGGTGTAATTCTCAGTTTGGGACCAACGGCTTGAGAATCCAGGGCATTTACTGGTATAAGTTCTGGAGTTTCAAGGTCATAGATCATGGAGTTGTATTTTCCAAGGACAGGAAACGGAGTATACTTTCTCCTGGAGAGAGACCGGAAAACTTTTAAAATTTTTTAAACTTTTGGTTCTATTTGGTCCCCAAGGAGATTGTATGCTGCCTTCCCTCATTGAGGCTGGATTTTTCCCACTAAATTCCCTGACTCATACCAACCTCCTCTGGAAACACCCTGGCAGACACACCCAGAAGTATGATTTACCAATTGTCTAGGTATTCTTTAATCCAGTCAGCACCTTAAATTAACCATGACCAGTCCAGCACCTTTCTAGTTGGCACCTATATGTATCACCTTAAGCCATAACTAACCTTTAGATACAGACAATAACAAGGCAATAGTTCTACCTAACACGATGCAACCATCCTGTGTGCAACCAAAACACACTATACTATTTCTCTTAAGAGCAGTGGAAGTTTGTGGGTGATGTTTACTCTTCTACTGATACCCCATAACTTCAATACAAGTATGTTAAATTGCTAACACTTAACTGTTAGTATCAAGTGAACACATTCTTGTGTTTTGTGAGAAAAGAAGAAGAGAGAAATAAAACAATGTTATTTGCCTAATATATTGATATATAACATGCAAATGTATTCTTAACAAAGTAGATAGGAAATACTAGTGACAATTTTAATCCTTGTTGCTGTAACTGGTCACCTGGTCCTGTCTGGTATGTATGCATGTATTTATTTTATCATTTTTTTTTAAATTTTTTATTTTTTGACACAGAATCTCACTCTGTCTCCCGGGCTGGAGTGTAGTGACATGATCTCGGCTCACTGCAAGCTCCGCCTCCCTGGTTCATACCATTCTTCTGCCTCACTGAGTAGCTGGGACTACAGGTGCCCGCCACCACGCCCAGCTAATTTTTTGTATTTTTAGTAGAGACGGGGTTTCACCGTGTTTGCCATGTTGGTCTTAATCTCCTGACCTCGTGAACCACCTGCCTCAGCCTCCCAAAGTGTTGGGATTACAGGCATGAGACACTGTGCCCGGCCCTGTCTGGTATTTATAACTCCCTTCTACTGCTACCCATTGTGTATTCTCTTTGTCTTCAGCAATCCCCTTTGCTGGTCCTGGGTCTTTATCTGGCAGGGGATGCAAACCTTCATTCCTGAAACATCTGGAGCAGTTGTATTCTTGTCTGGAATGGTTGTAATAATCCATTGAACTTAATAACAGGGAATAGTAATACTAAGACTTTGTTTCAGTCCATTTTCTGTTACTGATAACAGAATACCTGAAACTGGGTAGTTGATAAAGAACACACATTATTTCATACAGTTATGGAGACTGAAAAGTCCAAGGTTGGCAGGTTGTATGTGGCGAGATCCTGTTGCTGGTTGGGACTCTCTGAAGAATTCTGAAGTCTACAGGGTATCATATGGCAATGGAGTAGCGCTTGCTGACATGCAAGGTCATGTCTCCCTTCTTACAAGCCACTCTTCTCTCAGACTATTAATCGTTAAATATTAATGTATTGATTCATGAAGGGATTAATTCACTTATGGGTCAGACTCTTCATGATCCAATCACCTTTTAAAGGCCTCATAATTCAACACTGCCATGTTAGGGATGAAATTTCAGCATAAATTTGGAAAGGAAGCAATATTCCAACCGTAGCACTGCACTTCTGACTCTCTAAAAATCACACCCTGTGACAAAAATTTTATTTCATTCCTATAGTTCCAAGGCTTAAATTGTTCCAGCACCAACAGAAAGTTCTAAAATCTAAAGTCTCCTCTGTCAGCCCATGGAATCAAAACAAGTTTTCTTGATACAAAACTCGGCAGTTGGGTTGTTAATGCCCACTGGGTTCATGTTGGCTGCTTCCCAGATAGAGCCACTTTACCAAGATAAGGGAATTACTATAGAGAAAATTTTATACATGTAGAGCCAGCTAAAAGAGAGAGCCGAGTTTTCATATTACTCTAAACTGCTGCTCCAAATACTCAGAAACTAGCGTTTTTATAGATAGTTTTGTGGGCAGGGGGGTTAGAGAAAGGGACATGCTGATTGGTTGGGTCAGGGATGAACTCTTAGAAAGTCAAAGCCATCTTCTTTGCTGACTCAGCTCCTGGGTGGGGCCACATATCCAGATGAGCCAGTTTACTGGTTTGGGTGGCACCTGCTGATCTGTCAGAATGCAAGTTATTAGAAATACCTCAAACACCAACCTTAGATTTCACAATAGTAATGTTATGTATAGGAGCCATTGGGGAGGTAATTAATCTTGTGGCCTCTGATTGTATGACTCCCGAGCCATGCTTTCTAATACGGTGGTTAATTTGTTAGTTTTACAAAGGTGATTGTGGTCCCCAAACAATGAGGGGTTTTGTTTCAGGGAGGAGCTGTTATTATCTTTGTTTCAAAATTAAGCCACAAAGTAAATTTCTTCCAAAGTGGGTTTTGTTTTTGCCCAGGAATAAACAAGGGCTGCTTGGACGTGAATGCAAGATGAAGTCACTTAGGTCGTATGTCTCTCCCTGTTGTAATTTTTTCAATTACTGTTTTTGCAAATGGGATTTCAATTTCCCCTTCTGAATTTCATTGCATCTTATTCTTAAGGTGTGAGGTACAGAGTTGGGAAGAGGCCAAAGACCATTCTAACTTCTTTCTCCTGAGAAGGGGTATACTTGAGGTAGGGTTTGGCCCCAGAGTAAATGGAATGAAACTGCTTTGTAGCTGTCTGCATGTATTCGCTGATGCCTGGTTGGGGTTCCTAGGCTTGCATGACAAAGATGTTAGTACTGTCATCCACAATTTTAGTACAGCACTTAAGTGAACAGCAAACTCTAGGATAATAGGTCCTAATATAAAGAGTGGCAGTCCTAGCTTCAGAAGTCCTTGTGTAATTTGTCTAAATCCCTGAGGGATTAGAGTGAATAGCCCTAAGAACCAATCAGACATGGGGTCAACAGTCAAGAGAGATTTGGGTCAGAGGTTGTTAGAAAGACAAATTGGGATAAACAGGAAAGAGCAAATTTAAATATACCATCTCATATATTTTTAGTTAGTTTCCTAGTTCTCCGAATATATCCTAGCTGTGTTTCATTCCAGGAGGTGTCCCTGCAAATGAAGGAGGCTCCCTTATGTGATTAAGGCAAAAAATATTTTTAACAACAGGCATTTGTAGGGAAATAGAAAATAATAACAAAGGTTAATGTTGGGCACAACGTATCCAGATGTTAGATTCAAAGCATTTTTAAGTTGCAAAGGAGGATAGCGATGACAATCTCACGTATTTTTCATCTCTATCTCCAGGGATAAGCTTCAACATGAAGGGCCTCCGGAAGAAATTCGTAGCCATTTCATTGAGTCCAGGTCAGAAAAGTGGAAAAAAAATGTGGTTGTATTAGTTTGAGTACTTTAGCTCTAAGAGATTTCAGAATTCATTCCAAAGTGCAGAAAATAATAAAAAACTCAAAAACAATGGAGAAGACTAGAATCTAACAACAAGTGTGCTATAGTATTTTTCTGAAATATAACGTTTCGCTCCCTAGTTTTCATTTTTATTCAAGACATACCATAGTAAGACACATTTATTTGCAAAATAAGTTTTGGTATTATTATAGTTAGCCTGATTATTTGTGTAAAGTTCAGCAAGAATAATTATTTCCCATAT